TGCTCAAGATCTATCATGCCCTGATTCGATCCAAACTGGACTATGGTTCTGTCAGGACCTTGGCCTTGAAGATGCTGGACCCCATTCACCATCTGGGGCTTTGGCTCTACACCAGGGCTTTTTGCACTTCTCCAGTCCAGAGTTTGTACACTGAGTCCCAAGAACCTCTTCTTCACCTCTGTCATTTGAAACTTTCCCTACAATATGCTACCAAGCTTCGATCCTTACCACAGCATCCCACCTCGGATTTTCTTTCTTCCTTGGTGGGCCATGCTCTTTCAAAACAGATGGTCTGCAATTCCCCCTTTGTTGGCCTTCGTATCCAGGAACAACTGGTTGAATTGGGTCTGGCATTGGATGACGTTGCTGTTCCCAATAATCAGCCCATTCTGCCATGGCTTATTACCATCCCTGTCTATGATCTTTTCTTGAGTCATCTGAGGAAGGTGGATACTCCCAGTTGGAAGTACCATCTTCTCTTTGCTGAACATCTTTCGAAAAATCCTTCTATTACCATTTACACAGATGGTTCAAAATCAGGTGACTCTGTAGGCTCTGCCATGTTTTGCCATGGCTCGTTAGTTGCTCGCAGGATCCCATCTGCAGTTTCTGTGTTCATTGCTGAGTTGTATGCTATTTCTCTTGCCCTGGATAATGTAGAAGCTATGCAGCACAGCAACTGTACTATTTACACTGATTCTCTTAACTTTCTGCTGGCCTTGGAATCACTTAATGTTAGTTCTCACTCTATTCTCATCGATATTCAACAATGACTGGCCCATTTTTATCTATCTTCTGTTTCCATTTAGTTTTTTTGGATACCTGACCACATCAGTATTTGCAGGAATGAGCTCGCTGACACCACAGCTAAGTCTATCTGCTCTGGCACCATCACGGCCATTCCTGTCCCATACATGGACTACGGTCCTGTATTCAAGACGCGGCTTCTCGCCAGTTGGGGTGAGCAACGTTATAACAAGTTTTTTCATATCAAACCTTCTGTTGCTCTGTGATCTTCTTGTTTCCATAAGGACCAGAAGGAGGAGGTTGTCCTGGCAAGGCTATGCATTGGTCACAGTTTTATATCTCATCGTTTTCTTTTATCTGGTACTGATCCACCAATATGTACCCTTTCTGACACTCAAGTCACAATAAGCCCACATTTTACTGTCATGCTGTCGTTACAATCGTGAGCGGCAGCATCATTTTAGACACGTTTTGTGAGGGTTTACCCCTGATGTTGGACACTGTCCACCTTGATTGTATTTTTAATTTTTTAAGAACATTTGGTCTTTTTAATTCTATTAATTCTTTTATCTGTATTTTGGAAAATTTTGGTTTTAACTCAATTTATTTTTACGTTTTACTACAATTTACTTTTATTGTTTTGACCGATTGTTTGGCATAGATAGCCTAGTTGCTTTGCACCATAAAATGCCAAACAACCAACCAACCTTATTACTTTATCCAAAATAATTTGAATTCATAATATTTGTTTCTCTAGAAAGGGAAATTTATGTGTTGTTGCCATTTGATGTGTAATATTTTCTCAGTGTGTTTATGAGTGCATCTATTAATAGGATATGCACCAAAATAAAATTCTGAATCTCAACATTTCAGTTATAGTTTTATTTTGTAGATAATTTGAGAGGAAAGAACAGACAATTTCTTTTTTAAAATTGATGTCATTTGCCTCATAGAAAAAAAATGAGATACCAGGCCGAAAAGGTTAAAGGTTGAAACATGCAGCTTTTTATGGCACCATGCAAAACTTTTAAATAACTTCTTCAGTCAGGCTAATAAAATTTGCCCAAATTACATAAAAAACAAAGTTGCATTTTGATTTTTCTTAAAATTAATTGAGCAGGAGCTCAAATATTACTCAATCGTATTAGTTCCAAAAACTCATTCTGGGGCACTACATACTTCATCTTCACACAAGGCTTTTATCTGTTCCCTTGCCAGATGAGCTAGACTATCCCTGAAGGTTGTTTCTCTAACTTCCAATTCAGTTCGCCCCTACTCCATGTCAGTTTACTAATACAAGTGGCATGTCTACCATCACTGGTCTATTTCCTCTGTCCCATCCTACTGTCCTGCAACTGACTTCTTTCCTTACCTGGATTTTTGACAAGTGGCTGTGGGAATCCACCATTGCTGGTTATCATATGGCAGTGTCAGCCACCTTCCATTTCACAAGATTTCATCATGTCTACACTTCTCCAATCTTCACCCTTTTTTTCATTCCTTTCATTTTTGCTGTCTTCTGCATCTTATTGCCCTTAATGTCATCCTCCATGCCCTCACTCTTCCTCTCTTTGAGCCAATGTCTTTCTGTTTCCTATATCATTTCTCTTTAAAGACCTTTTTCCTCCTTCTCTTGGTATGTGTGGACATCGACGTTTGGAATTATTTGCCCTCGATGTCTCTCACACATTATATCACCAGTCATATGTCATTCTTTACCTGAATCAATATTTCCTCCCCGAAACTTCACTTTCTCCTGATGATTGTCATCTCTTCCAAGTCGCCTCCCATCAATTCTGTCACCTTACAATGTCCCTGGCTGCCTGATTCAGTCATCCTTCAGAAGATATAGTTCATACTGGCATGTGGACCACTCTTCCATTTCTCTTACATTATCAACATCATCTGGCCATTTCCTGCTCTACAGGTTACTGTCTACCTCCCATCACTATCTTGAGCTCCACAGTCTCTCTATGAATGAGTAGGTGCTATTTTTATTATATTCTTTTTTACAGGAGCCTTTCTCACAAATATGGATCCTGTTCAGTGGCAAGTGTTGCCTGTCCGGATATACTTATTCTTAAACCCACACTCTACAGTCATTCAGGTCAATTATGCCCACCATCGAGATGGGGTGTTCCACAAGACTGCTTGTAGGTTTCTCCTTGTGGTGTTCTTCATCATAAATATGTTTGCCCAAAGTAAAGCAGAATAGGATTGCTGCCTATCCCTGCTGCTCCTTGGTTTGGTGTATCAGGAATGAGCTGCTTTTCAATATAAGGTTTCATAGTCACCCTTTGCACTCTCTCCGGTGTTGCATTCCTCTGGATTGTCCAACACATTTCCCCCATTTTCCAGTAGAGTATGGGAGTCCTTACCACTTACTAACTCATAGCTGCTGGGGTGGTAGACTATGGAGGCTTCCTCCTGAATGTGAGTAGGGTTCTGTTCTGCCATTGTAGATGGTTTATAGATACTCCTCCTACTGTGAATCTGATGTTCTTTCCAGATTCTGCCTGGTTATGGACTGGATGATTTTCCACCACAATGCAGCCCATCCCTCTAGCTGGGCCACCCTCCTTCCTATCACTGCCCGGATGTCAGTTCCCGGGGATAATGGTGTTGGAAGGAGTTGGACTAGCCACATAAATCCTCACATGTGAGTGTCCCAGGTAACCTCCTCCTACTGTGGACTGGACAATTAATTTCCAATACCACCTGGCTCTGGAATGGAGTTGAAACACCACTTTGCTGTCTGCCTTCCTACTGTCAGTTCACAGGGGGTACCGGTGTTGGTTGTGTTGGACATGCACACATGATGATGTGGGTTCTTCCAATAGAGATGATCTTTCCTTCCAGTTCCCATATCTGAGGTGAACAGTAGAGGACCCTCTTCCTACCATGGGTCAAGTATTCATATCATGGTACACTTGGTGTTAGCTGAGGTAGATCTCCCCATTATGGTCAACTGCACCCTAGCCACTCTACATCAAGGGTCCCTTCACTTAATTTATGGGGTTCCTCCTATTATTCTGCTCTTATTGCAACAATTTCATGGGCAAAAAGTATACCTGGCTCAGAAGTGGTGCGGTCTCCCACAGGTGTGTTTTGCATATTCTTTATTCACACACCCCATGGACTTCCTTCATTCACTTTCTAAAGGGGTCTCCTCTAGGTCATGTTACACTGGTCCCTACACTAGGTCATTGTGAGAGTCTAGCTGTTATATGAGAAGAAATAAAGTATTGTATTCTGCATTGTAAATGTATTTCTGATAAATTCTTACCTCCGCTTGCCCTTCCTCCCAACTTCCAGTGTCTTTTTCTTTTTATGTTACTCAATCTCGAAGTGAAGTTGAGCTAGCTGTGCTAGGAGTTGTGTCACAATCCTGTTGGTGGAGGGTTGTTGCATGCTCATCTGCATGCTATCACGCAATAATCTCATGTGAAAACACATGAGGGTAGGTGGGAATAGTATCCAAGGCTAGTGGTGAGCAAAACTTTGTGCATATAGAGAGTAGTACAAGTCGAGAAAAGCTGTTATGGGAGAGAAGGTAAGAATCTATTGGAAATACATTTTCAGTGTAGGAAAATGTTAACTTTAATTCACATAAAAATTTATTTCCAACATTCTGTCTCACTCTGAACATTACTGTGAAACCTACATTTCAAATCTGTTTTCTATCAAAATATCATAAGTGTGCTGCATTGTATTTCTTTTTCTTTTGCCATTAAACTTACAATTTTTTTGTTTATTTTCATGAGACACAGTAAGGGTAATTAATTTCAAAACTTTCCTATCCCTATTCAAGTCTATTGATACCATGGTGTTTTCAAAAAGGAAGATCTACTTTTCTTGTGTTCTTGGCAATGTAATTTGGAAAGATCTTCATTTTCATAGAAAATTGGGCAAAAGATATACATATTTTTCATTAGAAAATATTAATATAAAGATTTTATTATTAGTCAATCACTTGTTAAAGTTGGGTTGAAACAAACCAAATTATTAAATCTGACCAGGCAAGCTATGTTGTATTTTGCTTTTATTTAATAGAAAAAGTTTAAATAATAAATGCTTAGGAATTTTTGATCTTGAGAAAGTTTTTTTTATATAATTTTTCAGCTGTATGTTTATTTTCAAATATGTTTGCTGTCTGAATGGATGAGGTTCAGAAGTGACTGAAAGTGACCATTAGTTAATTTGAATGTTGTGTAGTTCTTCATTATTTGTTTATGAGTTCATCTGTTTCTCAGATTAGATGGAGTTCGGGAACGACTGAGATTAACTGATAGTGAGTTTGAAAGTGCTAGAAAAAGAGCCAAAAAAGCAAAACAAGTTTTTGAAAAAGTGAAGAGGGAGCGTTATGACAAATTCATGAGTTGTTTTGACCATGTCTCTAATAAGATTGATGACATTTATAAGGTAAGATACCTACTTAAAATCTTATTAAACTAAATTTAAACGTGCTACAATGTCTTCAGCTTTATTCTGCAGACTTATAAGAATCACTTTCATTCCTGAAAAGCATGAAATGTTTTGAAATTTCCCTCATATATTGTTGTATGTACTTTATGAAATATCTCTTGTATTTTATCTATGAAATGTTTTTTTTATAAGTGTGAGACTGTGTGACAATGCAGTATCTTTGTAATTCAGTAATCCTCATTATTTGAACCAGACCTGTTAATATTTCACTTTTAGGAATTTTATTTTTTAATTGTAATATCTATTCCTCTAAAAAGGGAAAATGAATTCATGTAATATTTTTCATTTGATATGTAATAATTCTCAAAAAAGAACATAATTCACCAGCTTCACTTTATTATTGTATTAGATTCTCCAAAAACATTCTAGTACATTTTCAAATATAGAAAAAAAATAATTGGTAGTTTTTTAAGTTGTATTTTTAATATTCAAATTTAGACGTTTGTTTGCTAGAAGGTGCATGATGCAATAACTAGAAATTTCATGAAAGTTATAAATGTAAATGTTTCCTGCATATATAGAAATATGAGTACAATATAAATACAAGATTCAGTGAGTTAATGAGTAATCAATGAGTGATTCAATTCAGTATTAATAATGAAGGAGTTAGGTAGAGTTATCACATCTATTCAGTTACTCAGTGAGTTAGTCAACATGTTTGCTAGCAAGGAAATACAAGATCAAGAAGAAAGAGGAAGAAAATTAAAAGATGACCAAGAAAGAAAAGAGATTAACAAATAAAAGAACACAAAGAAGAAATTTACAGATTAAAAGAAGATCAAGAGGTAAGAGATTTAATATTTGAAGAAGAATAAGAAGAAAACTTAATCTGATTAAAGACGAAACTTATGAAGCTATTGAAGATATACATAGGGATTATAACATCAGAATTGAAGAAGTACAAAACGACATTACTGAATTAAAAGCAAAGTATAAATGGGGCATCCATTTATGTGCAAAATGATTGTTTTAATAACATTTAAAATGAGTAGAAGGACATCTATGAAGCACAGAAAGATCAAGCTCAATGAGGTAGAAAAGAATATCAATGATAGAAAAACATTTGCAAAATGGATTGGTAAATGCAGAAATTGAACTAGCCACACCTCTTTCTACATCTGCCTCAGAATTCTAATCTAAAACACCATTTACTCTATGATATGGAATAGGAGAATGTATTTGGTTTACACCTGTTACCATTACTGCTGTGACTGACTGCAAGACCTTCCTTGGCTCTCCAGCCATGATGCTATCATACCAAGTTCTAGAACGTAGCTGGCTGTATAAACAACATCACCCAATCAAGAAAAGAAACCAATGAGCTATAATTGAAAAGTACCATGCTCAATTTGAACTAATTTCCAGAGTGAATGAGTGAAATAGTAAACAACAAGCTCTTCATTTTGCTGCCAATTTAAAAGAACCAGCTTTAACAACATTAAGCAACCTTCCAGATTAGAACCATAACAAATATCAAGCATTAGTAACTGCCTTATACAACAGTTTTGGAGTGACATACTAAAAGGAAGTAGCCAAAGCAAAGCTCAAGAGTAGAGTATGGAGGAAAGAACAGACCTTAGCCAAACTTGCAGAAAATGTGGAAGGGCTCACCCAGTTATCTTACCTAGATGATTCATATGAAATGATGTATCCATTGGCACATGACCAACTTATTGATGCCATAACAGACGAGGATGTGAAAATTAGGTTTAAGCAAAATAGGTTAAACTTTCCAATTGGTGATGGAACTTGAATCCATTAAATTTGCAGATAAATAAACTAAAGACACCATCTAGAGGTTATAGGCTCATCAGCTGGAATAGTATTGAAACATCACCACCCTCCCTGATGATAGTCTAGAAGTACTGAAAGGATTAGTTAGATAACTAGTTACATAGAAGAAATAAACCATAAGACAACAGATGTTTGACATATTGCCAGGAACTGCATGTAGAGAATAATACCTTCTCCAATGGACCTTGTAATTTAGGTTGAATAAATACAATACCTCATAAGATTGATACTGGGCATGCAGCCCTAATACATCAGTTAGACAAAAATTCTTACATGAAAAGCACACTAAAGCTTTGAAAGAGGTAGAAGCTGTGGAGGAGGGTGGAGTCATAGATCCAAATACTGGTATTTGAGCATCACCTATTATACTTTTTAAGAAGAGGGATGGATCCACAAGGTTCTGTGTGGTATACCAGAAGGTGAATGAAGTCACAAAGATGGATGCCTACCCACTCCTAATAATTTGCTTTACTTTGGATTATTATTTGATAAAAATGGTTTTTAAATGTGGATGTGAAGAGTGGATATTAGCAAGTGCAAGTCAAGGAAGCAAGTAGAGACAAGGCAGCCTATACTACAAGAAATGGGTTGGGTTAATTTGTTGTTACCATTTGGATTATGAAATGCATCTGCAATGGAGTGTGCTATCTCTGAACTACTTGGGATGTTATACTCATATACTTGGATGGCATAATCACTCATGGGAAGACCTTTGATAATGCTTATGATGGGCTAAGAAAAGTTCTGGACTGTTAAAGAAAGAAAACCTTAAGCTGAATCCCAAGAAGTGTTAGTTGTTACATCAGCAGAGAAGTATCTGTACATTCATCTAAGATTATTGAATTTGTTCAGAAATGGCTCATACCAAAGAACTTGAGTGAGGTAAGAAGATTTCTTAGACTATGCTCTTTGTTGTTTTGTAAAATCAGTCTGACAATAGCTCATTCTCTACATAAGTTTCCTGAAAAACCAAATAAGTTTTTTTTTTACTACTGATTATGAACAAGCATTGAACAAAATGAAGAAACGAATTGCCTATTGAGAGTTATCACATCTTTTCGGTTACATAGTGAGCTAGTCAGTGGGTTTGTTCTTAATAACATTAGTGAGGAAATTCTTCAAATAAGCTTATAAGTAAGTAAGGCTTATGTACCATAAGTCTCATAATTTTTGTTTAAATGTTGTTGATGAAGTTAAACCTACAATTGAACATACCCTGTAAAAATGTTATTGAACAAATAAATTAATTGATTGTCATTATGTGTACTGAACTTGGTATTACTTTTACCAAATAATCCAGAAGAATCTGCCCAATGATAAAACATATTACAAGAGTACTTTATTTGAAAAATTAAAGAAACTTTTTTTTTCAACATGTACACACTTTTTTATTTCAAGTATTTTCTATATGAGTGTGCTTTTATCACTTTTGCCTTTGTATCATCTCCTATAGGCACTGACTAACAACCAGAGTGCCCAAGCTTTTCTTGGACCAGAGAACCCAGAGGAACCATACCTAGAAGGTATTAACTATAATTGTGTGGCCCCTGGTAAACGGTTTCAGCCAATGAGTAACCTTTCTGGTGGTGAAAAAACAGTAGCAGCTTTGGCTTTACTCTTTGCCATCCACAGGTAAGAATTTCTTGCATAATGATAAACTTGACTGTTCTTAATATTTTCAGAATTTTGCATATTCTTCTTTCTTATTTAATTAAAGATAATAGTATTATTTTTAAAATGGAAAATAATAAGTACAGATATGTTTTTTAAGAATATAAGTTTATTTCTATTTTGCAAAGAGTTAATAAAACTGAAAAACAATACTTCATAACATTAATATTTCATTTTTGTTGGTTTGAACTAAAAATGCATAAGATTTCTAAGACTAAGTGAAAGAGATATTTTTTCCAAGCAATGCATCACCCACATAAATTCTAAAAGGCCTGTTAACCAAACTAGACAATAATGTTAAATATTTGGGTTTGAGAAAGGTTCTAGGACTATGAAAGTTGACTAACTAGGTTATGCTGAGTTCTCTCTGTTATGCTTATGTAAAGATTTTCATTCAGTTTAAAGTTTGTTGAAACACTGTCTCACTCCCAAAGTTCCCAAACATTTGTAACAAAAGACTTTACATTATTTCATACCTAAGATGACAAAACATTGAATTTTGTGTCCTTTCTCTCCAGTTATCAACCAGCTCCATTTTTTGTGTTAGATGAAATTGATGCTGCACTGGACAACACAAATATTGGCAAAGTAAGTTTTTATGGTCAGCAGTGAAAGTCGTATAGGTTTTAGAATCAAGAATAGGAAAATTATAGTGAAATTTAGTGTATTTTCATTTTTTACTGTAAATGTGTTGAAGTAAAAATGTTTTCAACACTTTACAGCTACTTTCTCTAACATTTTTATCTAATATTTTTATTAAAGGTTGCTAGGTTTATCCGAGAACAAACTGAAACGTCCTTCCAATGTGTAGTTATATCCCTGAAAGAAGAATTCTATGGTCATGCAGATGCTCTTGTAGGAATTGTCCCAGATGTAAGTGTCAAGACTTTAAGTTCCTTAGTTGCTCTATCTTGTGATTGTTAGGATAACACAGTAACAACCAGTGCACTGAAACACCATAACTGCAGTGTACCTTGTTGAGAAGGCACTGTAACACCCAGTACATTGAAACATTATGACTGTTGGCATTATGGATTGTTTAAAGGGTAATATGACAGCCAGTGTATTGGAATGTCATGACTGCTTAATATTATTGATTGTCGAGTGTTGGATGTACAAGACTGTTTACTGTATGTGTTATTATGTAATTTCTTTTGTGAGTTAATATTTAATGATTGTCTAGTTTCATAACAAGAGTTTTAAAAGTTAATCATTTTAAAGGCAAAAGTTATGACAAGTTTAACTGCATAACTCAGTAAGAGTTTTAAATTGTGTGTGTGGTTCAGTTGTTGTAGTATTGTTGACTCCAAACTACTCAAATCTTCAGTATTTTTATCATTATCTTAAGTGAACAACATATAAATATAGATGATCAAGCGAGCACAAGTCAAGTGCAGTTCAGTCAGAAAATTAGTTAGCAAAAGAAAACATGAAGTTAGCCAGTGTGTGAGTGATTAACCATAACAGGTGATATATTAAAGTGAGTTTAGAGAAAATTCGAGGCCTCATTGAACAATGTATATATATAGACAACCAAGAGAATGCAAGTCAAGTGCAGTTCATTCAGAAAATTAGTTAGTGAAAGAAAGCGTGAAGTTAGCTGGTGTGTGAGTGATTAGCCATAACATGTGATATTTTAAAGTGAGTTTGCAGTTTAATAGAAATAATGAGAATAATTTGTCTTGCCAAAGGGTGTTCTAAAGTAATTGAACCCATCTATATGGATTTTAATTAAAAGGAGACAAATATTTAAAGTTTGATATACAACTGTGGTAACTTTGGGGGGTAACATAAGTGAATTATTCACTGATACTATTCTGATAAGAGTAGAGAAAAATAATTCATCTTGTCAATTGGATTCTAAAGTAATTGAATCAACCTATGTGGACTTTTGACAAGAAAAGAGAATTATTTAGAGTTTGTGACACAACTGTGATATCCATAATGTAAAGAATTTATGTACATAGTTGGACTTGTTTTGAATATATTATTTTAAAACAAGTGGAATGTGTGCTGTCCATCTATTGTCGATTTTTATCATCAACAAGTCACAGTCACCTACTGTAGAAGAATCCTCAGCTCACTCGTATTTAAAATCATGACATTGAGAGGGTACTATAACAAGCAATGTTGAAACATCATGATTGCTGAGAGGGTACTGTGACATCCAGTGCATTGAAACATGATGACTGGTGTGTATTATGGATTGCTGAGAAAGTACTTTTGAACATTAAAACAGCATGGCAGTTTTGCATTATGGATTGTTGAGAGGGTACTGTGACAGCAGTGAATTGAAACATCATGACTGGTATGTATTATGGATTGTTTAGAGGATACTTTGACAACCAATGCACTGAAACATCATGACTGTCATATTTTATGGATTGTTGAGAGGTTGCTGTGATTGCCAGTGCATTGAAACATCTTGACTAGACCCGGGTGATTAATGATATTTAGTAATCAGTTAGTACAGTGTTTCTCCAACCATGGTATGTACAAGAAAAAACGAAAAAGTGGTTGGCAGTGGCTGCTGCCAGAGAGTTTGACTTCCTCTTAGTCAGCAGTTTGCCAACAAATAAAGAAATATGATCAGTTGGCAGTGGGTGCTGAAAGTCAGTTGTGTTACCTTCAGTCAGCAGGTAAACATTAGTGACAGTGGCAGATAGCCTTATTAGCTTTGCCATAACAAAGACAGGGTGAGCAAACATGATAGCTATATTTTGATTAGTTGGTATAGTTAAAAATAGTTATGATTAGCTACACTAATTTTGATTATTTGATTATTTTTGTAACAATTGATATAATTTTGATCGGTCAGTTAGTTTATGGGACACTATTTCATGTCATCCCTGCTAATAGATATATATTGCAAACCATGGTGTCTGTGTGAGAATTCATCTGTCCCCCATTTGAAAAGCTGAGCACACAGGCAAAGCTCAACATTCACTTTGGAAATGATGGGATAACAGACATGAATAATGTTGATTCCAAATTTTATTTTACTAGCAGTATATTCTACACTAAACTGTTAGGAATTTATCACACTATCATTCACGTTTCAAAATGTGACATAACTTAAAGAATAAAATGTAGATTTACCATATGTTATTGTTGAGTGGCTCTAAGCATGACTGAAATGTTCAACAATTGCTTTTCGCAGTAAGCGTTATAAGTAGCTCAGAGCTTTGGCTCTGAGTGAAACCAAAAGTGCAACACAATTAACCTTTTTAAAGTCCATGAAATAATTTAAATTGACAGATTAACTTAAACTTTTCCCATCACTGGGGACAGGTACTTTTGCTTGTAATTGAATAAATCACCCACCTCTATCTGCTTCCGGATGATTTATGGGATAATGTTATAGCCAAAAATAATTTTATTCACATTACTGTTTACTTGCTTAGGCATACCACACCACAAATTTAAAGTGTTTTGCTTTTTACAGCCTGGAGAATGTACCATCAGTCGTGTTCTCACCTTGGATCTCACAGAGTACCAGGAGTGAATTCTAACCTAGCAGTGTTCTTTCTTTTATATCTATGTATATGTACATTATGAAACTGTGAAGTTGTTTCATTTTATTTTTACCTATACTTTGTATTGTTTTTAATCAGATTTTAATTGGAGGAGAAGAATAACAATGTTTTTGTTTTGTTTTAACTTTACAGTTTTATTCTATAAATTAAAATAAAAACTGTTCGAGCAGTTGCAAAGCAACGCATTAATTGTATCTGATCAGGGGTTAATTCTTGTATTTATTAAATCTTTTTTAAGTGTGATATAGGCATAATGTAAGAAAAGTCTGAATTTTTTTCTGCTCAGGCAATCGTGATATTGTTCCATCTGTTAAGTGGTTCAGGCTACCTAGTGAAACCTATAAAACCTGTATTTTTAATTTTTTTTACAATATATCAAAAAATTTTAGAAACCTATAGATTTGAAAACAAACCTATACTTTTACCCAAAACAGATTGCTGCAAAATATTTGATACTCTAGTCAATATAGTATTATAATTATCCTATACAGGCATATGGAAATCTAACAATATTGCAGAATTTCTGAAATGAAGGAATTTCAGACTTTATTATCAGCATTATCATAGTAAAGTCTGTCATCACACACAAAGTGATAAATTTATTCATGGAAATTTTAGAGGTGAGTATAGAAATTCACATTTAGTGTTAGTCAAAAACAAATTGTTTACATATATATTCAACTCTATATTTTGGTTTGTGAAACCATAATTTTCTCTATATTTTTAGAGAGAGGAAACTTTAAAAAAATCTTTATTTTTGCATTGGCCTGTTTTTATATCTGAACTATCTTAAAGTCTTAGAAAGTTTGTTTCAAATTTATTAAAGAAATGAACTACAGATTGTAAAAAATATAATAATAAGGCTAAATCTAAAATTGTAAGTTACAAAATACATTCATTCTTAAATGCAAAAATGTTAATCAGAATTTTTTAACCACTTTAACTAACATAAGTTTAGAAAAATGTCATTGAATTGGATCTCATTTAATTGAAGTTTCTTCATATTTGTTACTAAGAAATGGCTTGTTTTATTGAAAAATATTTTTTTCTTGGTTTTCAGCATTGTTGTGATAGTCTGTGTTGGATATTTATTATATGTAAGTAAACATACTGGTAGAAAGTGTAATATGTATTGAGAAGTTTTTCCAGTGTTTTAATGTATTTATTATTCATGGTGTCCAAGCTACATTAACAGGTTCACTGCCATGTGCCCCACTGGTGGGTCAGAACCAACTTTTAGTTATGGGCCGCATAACACACTGGTGGATCACATATTACAAGTGGCTTCAATGAGCTAATTAATATTAGTATAGTTACCCATATAAATATTAGACACCTGGGTTAAGTAAAAAAGAAAAGTGTGGTTGGTACTAGGATAGGGATTATTAATACTACTAATGGCAGTGAACGAATGTATTGAACAAAGAATTTGTTTTCTGTGTTCTATGTTTCTATATAGGCTCTATTCTGTGGTACTTAGAAGTATTAATCATGTCACTGGCAGCTGTGAAACTCCATTGTTAAAGATTGTTTTGTTTCTAAATCATTGAAATTTTACAGATGGTTATAGAAAGTTTCCTTTATTATTAGTCGATTATAAGTTATTTATATGTATTTAACTCTGTATTTTGGTTTTTGAAACTACAATTTTCTCTATATTTTTGGTCAAAGAAAACTTTATTTTTGCATTGTTTTGTTACCTGAGTGGCCTATTTTTTTTTCTCAACTATTTTAAAGTGTTAGTAAGTTTGTTACACATTTATTTCAGAAATCCACCATAGAATATAAAAAAATAAAATTGTAAGTTATGCAACATGTTCATTGTTAAATAAATTAAAATGCAAGGTGATTTACTAAGCTATTTTTTATGTCTTCTTAAATTTACAGAAATAAATTCAGTAAAAAAATTTAACTGTAAATGTTTTTTTTCTTCCACATTGCTGAAAATCAAAGGACAAATTAAGAGGAATGTGGGAAAAAACATGTCTAGTTAACTTGTTTTTGTAACAATTACTAGGCCTGTTGGTTTTCGAATGTTTCACTGTCTTTCAACATTTAGGCCATAAATTTTAAAGTATTATACCATATATACAAACAGCAATCATATTGTTGGTGTGAAGGTGCTTTGTAGTCACTATGAGAAAAACCTATACACTGGATAGGTGAAGTGAAGAAAAAGTGTCATTGGCCACTATTCAGTTCATCACATTATACAGCTGCACAATATCAGATATAATAAACATAGTATTCTAAAAATTGTTTAATCTCAAAGTCCAAGTTCAAGGGAGGTCCAGTTCAATCTACACTTTGATCAATGTGGGTTATTGGGTTATACTACTTTCAGATAATTCCACTCCTCATCAGTAACCATGAACACAAACTAACCAAAGAGAGATAAGCTGGACCGAAATTGTTTTGTTTCAAGAGTAAATAAAACCAACATTAAAACTAACAAATATTTTTATTTCTTACTTTTTATGTTCACATGTCATGCA